TTGAACAACATCTGGAACTCAAAACAGCAACCAACCAACACCATAGTCACAATTTTCAATGCAAATGTCAAGACAGTTCTACTGTATGGAATGGAAACTTGGAGAACTACGAAACCCATCGTCCAGAAGATACAAGTATTTATGAACAGTTGTCTTAGTAGAATACTTCGAATTCGTTGGTCAGGCACCATCAGCAACAACCTACTGTGGGAGAGAACAAATCAGATTCCAGTGGAGGAGGAAATCAGGAAGAAACGGTGGAAGTGGATAGGACACACACTGTGGAAAGCACCTAAGTGTGTCACAAGATAAGCCTTCACTCTGAACTCTCAAAGTCAAAGGAAAAGAGGAAAGCTAAGGAACACATTACGCCAAGAAACAGAGAAAGATATGAGAAGAATGAACGAAAATTGGACAGAACGGGAAAGGGAAGCCGATGATAGAATAGGTTGGCGGATACTGTTGGGCAGCCTATGCTCCATTGGGGGTAGCAGGCGTAAGTAAGTAAGTTAGATCCCCAGAACTCACTTGGAAAAGGTTTTAATTTTTTAATTCAATTCTGAAATTTTTACTTTTTATGCTATCGCGCCAAAGATGCTTGGTTGACCTTCAGCTTACATTTCCCACTCGGAAAATCCTTGACTGTCATTGGTTGATGGATTATTTTTTCGTGGCTCTACCAATGGCGTTTCTATCATTGTAAAAATAAGTTTGAGTTGTGTGCTTAGCAACCTCGTATTTTTTGGTGGCTTGAAGAATACATTCTCTCTACGCCTTATCAAGACTTCTTGCTCTAGTTATCAGGGCCTGGGCAATCAGATTAGAATAGCCTATCATGTCACTTCATCGTTGATCTTCATTTCGTTTACCGAATAAGGTGATCTTATCATAATTTCAAGCATATCAATTGGCGAGTATAGATAGTCTTTACAATCACTGTAGTGCTTGTTGACATATTTCTTAAGAAACTTTACCTGAATTTCACATTACTACATAGTTCTCAGCAGAAACCTAAAAATCAATTGTCCATTAGCGTATATTTACTGACAAGATAAATCAACCAGTATTTTAATTAACCAATCAAATTCCTAGGTTAGAGAGAGATATCAACCAATTAGACTGAAGCTAATAGCATACATAGCTAATGATAAACGTTTAAGTCAATGGCATCATAAAAATATATATATATGAGCAGGTTAGTAAGTCATATCCGTCTATATCATCATAGACATCAATTTTTCATGTGAATATTGCCAATATATATATATATATATATATATCCTGCTGTGATCCTTCTCATTGAATATATATATATATAGCTAAATTTTTTTGTTTAGTTGAGGTCATTACATTATTGATGTTATTTTTATTTCATAGAGAATGAATACAAACTGCAGTTTGTTAGTTTAATTATTGTTGAGGACAAGTTGAAAGGATGATTATCAGTAATTTTTAACTAAACCATTATTCATCACAAAACAGATGCATTGAATGTAAACTGCGCAAAATAAAAACCAAGCCTAATTTTTCTATGAATAAGGTTCGAAATTTGTCATTGTAAGAGTGAATTAATTGATAGCAATTATCTATTTCGGTTACTTTTTTATCTATACAGTTATTAACAATGACACATAGAAAACAAAACACCTCTATGATAGATTAGTGGAATTTTTTTTTCAAGAGTACAGATTTTAAATATTCTATGCATATGAATGTTGTAATAGTTTAGTGAAGGAGAACACAGGTGAGGGCAACCGAATTGTATTTATCGCAAATTACAGAGTTACTCATTAAAATAGGACAACCATATCGTAAACGGTTAATTTGCAAATCTCCAATCCATTGTCTGACAGTTCACTCACTATTCATGCGTTTCATACAAATTCCATTGTGTTCCCACTCTTCCTTTCTCTTGATCTAAACCCCCATCTTCTGCTGCCAGACATTACGTTTACGGTCGCGTCATATACTACTTATAAGTAGCGCGCACCACAATATTAAGAATATGAATGAAACACATTAAGATAGTTTATGGATAACATATTTTGATTTCAATAGAAACAACCATCTCAATAATGAGTAACATACAATGTGCTCACTGGGTGAACTAGCTTCGTGAAGAAATTCTCGCAGTTCTAGTGAGAATCTGTAACTAGTGAATTTCAATTCTGTTGGGTGTAGGTAGTTATATATACAGGAGACATTGAGTGAGGTTGCACAAAACCTTAGATTGATCAAAACTAGACAATTAAGACCGTTGAATGCCAACTCAGTGATCTAAAAGGTTAAGCAATCGCTCTCCAGACCCAATGTACTGGGTTCGATCCTCGCAAGTGAGAGTCGTGGATGCTTATTGCTGATGAATTCCATACTAAGATGAAATAGCTGTCTAGTGACCCTTAGTTGCTTTCTAATAACGGTCTAACAATCATTAATTTTTGATTATACTATGTACAAACATTCCACTTAATCATTAACTTTCATTTGATATACGATCTCTACATAATTGCTAATCAATTGTCAGTGTCTATTATTCACAGTCGACTCTATTCAGACACTTTTTGGCTTGTTCATGTATGATTGTTATTCTTTATCTATGTTTGTGATGCGGTTTGGTTTGCTTGTGTATACACGACGTCTGTTTGAAAAACAAATATGATAGAATTTAGTTTCTGACTTCAGGGTAATTTTCAAGACATAATTAGTACAATAAACCCGTAAAACAGTGCTTAATCAGATAATAGACTTGATTAGATAACCCAACTAATTTTCCACTACTATATTCTGAAAACCTAATCAACAATACTTCCTCCTCACCTTCATTAGTCACCATATCCGCTGCTGATTGTTTTAAATAACCCACAACAAATAAACAGATTTGTATGAACAATAAAAAACAAAAGAGAATTTAACGTTAAGATTTTATATTGCCCACAGAATGAACAAATTATTTTCCAAAAACTGACCAGACAATTCAAATTTGAGTTCTGAATTAACTATGTAGAAAATATGAAACACACACGAACAGAGAAACACGTTCATTATCAACCGAAAATTCAGAAGCAACACAATGAATGACAAAAAAACAAAACAGATTACTATAATTTTCTGAGAAACTTTTTTTTTATATCTACTGGGCACAGCAAACAATGTTAAATAGTTTAGTAATTATGAACAAGTGAAGAAGTAACTTGGCGCAAAAAATGGCAAGTTCATGATCGCGAAAGCTGAGCTGGTAACAGGGATTGAAAAATGAACAGACAAGATCACGCAGAAACAATAAACCTTTTGTTTTATGAAATGGCATAATTTAAAGAGAACACTATCTTAAAGAAAATTGGATAAAATAAAAGGTCCCTGGAACCAGCTAAGTTTGGCTAAAATATTCCTAATAATTAAGAGACCATAATGCTTTACTGGATAATAATAGTAATTAGTAGTAGTAGTAGTAGTAGTAATGTTAATAGTACAGCAAACGTGATCAAAAATGTCAGTGACAGACAGATATGAGAATGATGGAAATACTGAATGAATGAAGAGTGAAGAAACAACAAATCTATTATAAAATAAAATTCGTTTATTTTTTTCAAATACACGATTATGCTTAACAAAGGGAGAAACGAGACTGTGAACTCAACACTAAAGATTGACAAAGAAGTATGCTGAGTTCCAACAATAAATTTAGCAACTTAATAATGAAACTGGACGACTATATTATTAGATTCGTTACATAACACCAAGAGGTCACAAGACAGAGCACAATAATAATGTCCATACTTATAAAAGATTTCACTAATCTGTGAGCAGCTGGGATATGTGAGGAAATGTAGATTATATCAATTTTGAGAGCATATATATACTAAACACAACCGAAAGGCTTTAGAATAAAATAGAGGGATTTTCGATTGCGTTATGTGAATCCACTACTACCCATGTTATTTTGCAGCTGTAGTTAAACTGAAAATTTGAATTTGTCAAACACAGAATTGAGTGGAAGCACACATGTGATATGAATAATGCTAACTAGTCTAGTTAGCACACAGGCACGAAAAGCATCACAAAATGTTCTGAATCCCTGGAAATATGTAGATCAGCTAACATTTACGACATGAACCATAATGATAAAAGAAAATTTCAATGACTCACAAACTCAGTAATGGAATGAGAAATGGATACACACATCAACAGTAACGCAAGATAGGTGCGCATATTAGCAACAACAAATGGATCTGATCACAGGTTAAAGTAATAAAGGTAATAAATATGTAAGAGGATAATTGCGCAACCGACTAAGTTAAAAAAAAAAACGAAGGCATTTTTTTTTCATTAAGATTGTGACAGAAATTAGAAAACAAGGGAGAAAATACAGACTATGCAGTTTAGTGAAAGTTTGGCAACATAGTTATAGAGCTTTGCACCGGAATGAATTGTTAAATTAGCAGAGAAATAAAGAGCATACATGACATGATAAATTATAAGAATTTAGTCGTCGTTGTTGTGATGACAAAATCGACTATGTAAAAACAATTTTAGACAGAATAAACAGAAAGGGGGGGGGGTAACAACAACAACAAAAGAATAGTTATATCTAGAATTATTTAAAGAAAATGCAATGCAATCATCATCAAGAAAAGAACACAAGAAGTATAGAAAGACTAACTCAGAATGGATTGTAATGAACAGCCAGAATTATTCAGAGTTCAAAATAATGAAATAAAACGGAATAAGTATACATATATGTATACATATATATATATATATATTCATACATGTTGAAAAGCGAAATAGAAAAGCTTAATCAGCTTAATTAATCAGTATGATCATTGTGCAAAAGAAATAAACTGAATGCAACAATTACGAGAGTAAAGTACATAACATAATAATGAATGACCATTGATAATTGGAAATGTATTTGACATAATATTTCATAATGATTGAGTGTTTATAAAAAAATATTTAAACAATAATGATAGTAGATGTATATACACATAGAGACACTAATATATATATATATATATGAGTAGTTTTTCGTCAAGTTTTAATAAGAATGATAACGAAGTTATGTAATTTCAGTTAGATCTGCAAAAATTATAACATTTCTGATGATAAAGTACGGTTGTAGTTCTTTTATTCATTATAACTTACTACTAGATGATGTGATATTTTGATAAGATAATAAGATGCACACTTTTATTAATGTTTAAGAACAAAAAAGGATTATTGATCGGGCACGCACACACACATACAAATACACACACACACACGGTGCATGAACTATAAACTTAGCAAACAAAATTACTGCTATTTTAAGAGGTAGGTAAGTAATGTGTTTAGAGCATAATTTGAGGGGACAAGAAACATATTGCACCGGTCTATATATTTAGGGCAGTGTGTATGCATATACGAGTAGTGATGATTGGCTAAGTAATTTTACATTTTAAAGATGAAAGAAATAATGAGGAAAAAATAGAACACAATGAGCATACGTAAATACATCACAGTTAGGGGTCTTAAAAAAGACATGGTCTGTGTGTTGTACTATAATAAGATGGAAGAATACATTCTCAGTTTAGCATTGATTAACTGAATGAAAACAGACAAAATATGTCACATGTAGAGAGAGACATAAGGGAGTACAATTTATTTCAGTAAAGGTATATCAATATAATATATATATATAGGACAACCTAGATATGGAAAAATGGAGCAGGAATACACTCGATTTTATAAGCAGAAAACATAGATTTAGTTTTTAGCGATACTAGAAGTCTCTTTACAGGAAGATAAGTAAGTGGTCAATGAAACAATGATTTATAGGTCATAGAAACTGTCCAATCAAAGCACACAAATGAAAGACTACTAAAATTGGACGGTTTAAAAACAATGAACTGAAATACTCAACAAGCAAAACAGTCAGAATACATTCACAGACACACAGAAATAATGTATGAAAGGCAATGAGGTATATGTTTTATAGATATATATATATAAGATGGGAAAGATATGAATAAAAAGGACATTTGTAATCAACAAGGCAATTCTGACTAGTTTTGATCCGCATATATAATTTTGTAAAGTCAAAACCCATGATTGTAATAACATTGGATCACAGAATGTTCGTAGGCACAGCAAACAATGAACTTAAATAGTAGTAGTGTAGTGGTATTGAAAGAGTAATACAACAACATACTGACGAAACTTGAGCATAATTAAAGAAGTTTGAGAAGAGTGATCAACTTTTAGACTGACAGTTTTTAGCTGCACTTTAGAGACTTGAATCTGAACGCAAAAGCGTTGAGATTGGAAGACTTCCCTAAGAAAAATCAAGGAATGAGAGATTCCACAAAGCAATCATTTTTCTCATAAAAACAAATCATTACTTGCTTCCACATACAGTTATTCCAAAACGAGATATATGAGGATTAGGTTTTTTGTTATTCGAATTCATGGGGAAGTAAAATTGTCCGTTGCTATTCAAACTGGATGATGTGGCATGCATTTCAGATAATGTATTATTAGTAAATTGATTAGATGTTAGACCATCCACGCCAGTGTTTAAAGACTAAAATAGAAGTAAAACAATCGAGAAAGGTTATTCATGTAGTTGATTTCGTAACAAATACTAAATGAATGAAAAACATAGAGGAAGGTTTTCTGTATAAATTATGACAACTGAGAAAAATGGCTCCATAAAATCACTTTTGTCTCATTATCTATCTAAACAATTGAAAAATAAGATACTTTCAGTAAGGAATAGTTTAGTGTATAACATAAAAGTATACACGGAAGATGGATGCTCCATACTAAAATTGAGAAGAGAAACTATATATGAAAATCTGTAAGAAGTTTTCAACAATGTAATTATGGGTCATCGGATGGACGTTACACATGGGACTGCTTATATTGAGTCAGTAGGAAAGATTTGATTGTGACCAATTCGGTCTCGTGCGCTTTTATGGGTAAGAGGGCGGATGTTACTTCACGGCTGCCCACACCGTGGAAGGGTCTTTCTTGAGGAACCTGAAAAGGTAGGTAGATTAGTGTTGGTCTTAGAGACTTGGGAGCGTGACCACAGAGCCCAAGGGATAACTACTTGGGGTCGATCACGCACGGCCTTTTTATGAGTTTCGAAAGTGTTAGCTCCGCTCTTGTTTACAAGGCCTTAACACCGGAGACGGAAATCTGTGAGGTAAGGTGAGGTGTGACATTTTAAGGGTCGACCTTTTCTAATACCTTACTTTCTTTTGAGAAGGCAGAATCACTGCTGGTGCTGGTTGTCCGAGTCAAACACCTTACTGCTGTCACACTCCTCTACAGTCAGCAGTACGACTTCACCCTCAGACCTTGAGTAGCTCTTTTTAAGTCTCATCTTTTTCCAATCGACTTGCCTGGTAGGGTAGAACCTACAGGAAGATATGTTCCAGCCTATATATCTCAGTTGGGTCATCAAGATAGGCTAGCCCGACCACCATGTCAAGGTAACAGCTACAGTCGGGACTCATATTGGGAACAAAAATGCTCCTGTATAATTGGATATATATATAACCTAAAAAGGATTAAATGCAACAAAAAATTGAACGAACTTTCTACAACTGCCAGGAACAAGGAACGTGTTTAGCGGTTCCTAAAATTTATTGTTTTTACGATACTACAGATGTGTAATGTTAAGTCAGTCATCGAAAAGGCATTGAGTTAGTTATCTGCCAATTTGTGAATGCTCAAAAATTGCTTATCTATTATAACATCATGAAAGTTTGAGACAAAATTTAATGCATGAAGAGTAAAAAGGTTATAAAATAAAATAAAAAAATAAGAAAATCTGACACACACAAAACATACTAGTTGTTGCAAATGAAGACGAGCGTCGAGATCGGACAACGGTTGTAGAGATAAACGATCGGCAAAAGTTTTCACTAACTGCAATGAGTCCTCCATATTTTGAAGTCTGATTAGTACGCTACAGCTGCTTGGATTCAAAACATGAAAACTAGTAAGTTTAAAATGAGTTGATAAAATATTTTGCAGATTGTGAATGTTTATACCGTTCCATCCTCCTAAGAGTGGTTGCACCAATAGCCATTGACCTTGAATATCATTAGATAAGTTAGCTGATGGAAAATTATTTTTTGACACCGGAAAGTTTATGATGTTACTCTCTAAAGTGCATCGTGGTTGACTATTTGTTTGTTGCCATTGATTTTGAGCGGATCGATTATTAGAACAGGATGGACTTGTGACAGATAAAGACAATGTAGGAGACCAATTATCTGATATCTTGCTAGTAGGAGTGCGTGTGAAATTGTTCATTTTAGAAACTGTAAATAGACAATAAGAGTATTACACATAAGAAATACAATTTTAGAGCGAATTATTGTAAAAGAAAATTGTCGACTAACCGATTTGGGACATATTCGCAAACAACAAGAAAGAATATTGCGAATACTAACAAGCTGTAACTGAAAAATATTAAATTGATATATTCAGCCGCTTATATTCAAAGTAAAATGTGGTATATATGTGCATCAGTCCAAGTTGCCACATCCCAGCATGGAGAGACAATCTCAGTAATAGAAACAGTAACTGTGTAGGCGGCGAATGAAAGGTTATGTACAGATATTACTCGAAAAATTGAATCTGTGGGACCGGACTGATAGGCAGTCTACGCCGCAGGGGACGTGAGTTGGCTCCTCATCGTGTTCGGAGTCTAAAGGGGTGAGTTTCGGGCTATCTACCAATTAAGTGAACACGATCAAAATTTACTGGCATTAACCTTTTTGTTTGAATATCGTGTAGATACTACTATTGGTTTTTTACATGTTTGGTTACCATGTTAAACCACATTCTAGTGAACATCTCTGACGACTGACTAACAGCTTCTCTGGTTGAACTCGAATATGTATTCCGGTTGTAGTTTTCCGGATGTAGTAAGACGCAAGTAAATACGTACTCATTTAAGATGATGATTTGAGTATAAACATGTGCTCCATGGTCTTCTATCAAACCTTCTTAATGATGCCTAACTGCATCCATTGTCCGGGAGGTTACTTTGCGAGATGTCTATCTTTAGGCATTATAAAAATAAAGTTTCCCGAGCAAAGTTGCAGTAATCGAGTTGGACAGCTTAAAAGATGAAAGTATAGATAGATAATTTGAAATATTACAATAGCGCTTGAAAATCCGCAATAACAAAGAACAACTCGTACACTAACTATTACTGAATCGCTATGTTCTTATGCATGCTTATATAAGCAGAAGTTGAATAGATGGATTAGAAGCAATTTACAGCAAATCAACGATTAAGTGAGATGGGAATATATAGATTAAAATCACTGTTCAACTCTCTTAAGCTCACAAAACGATGGCGTCAACTATACAGCATCCAAGAAATATGTCCAGGTCAAGTGGATTTCAAATAATCAACCTACCTGCATTAAGAATGTCAATTTACCACGGTAAATTGTCTCGTTGATAAATTACCTTAAGAATAAGAAGCTCTAATTTAAACAAAAAATAGAACTAATACATTAGATAAACACACACTGCAGTAAACGATGAAAATTTAAACAACAATGAATCTTTAGTCATCTCTTGTTAGCGTGAAGTCACTTGTGAAACAAAATCGATGATAACATTAACGGTTTAGTATTAATCAATGAGACTCATTTTATTACGTGGATTTATACGTTAATGAGAATGACAAGGAGTTAGTATAATTTTATTTCACATACCTGAACCATCCACTACATTTTTATCAAAATTTTCACCACAATGCGGAGAAGGTGCCATCCACGTTCCAATAGCAGGAAATGAGTTATCAGAAATATCGGTACCTAAAAATCAAATAAAAAGAGTGAAACTGTATTCACATTCATTCAATAAAGTACATACACTCACATTGTCAGACTGACAAGTGTCATTTACAAGTTATATATGAACAACTAAGTTAATATCAGTGAATTTTAGTGGCGTTTACTGAATTGATTGATAGCCCGAAACTCATTTCTTTAGACTGCGAATGCAACAAGAAGCGAAGGTAACCTAAAAGTAGACTAACTTGCATCACTTGAGGCACAGATTAGATGGTTGTCTGCTAATAAAGAGATCACCACCAATGAAATTGCGCAGCAAACCTATCATAGTTCTTATTTTAGTACTTTGCTAGCTGTTCTTGTATATGTTGCACATTTGGCGTAAAAGATTTAAAATGTCGTCCTAACCTTATGAAGCATAAACAACACTCAATGAAGTCGAAAAGTATCTTTCATGAAATAACTAACCGTTTGGAGGCAATAAAGATGTCTTTACTGTTTGTGTTGCAGGATCATGAGCACGAGTTAAGTTAAGTTGAGCTCGCTTTGCGTGTAATTGAGTTTCAATCTGTTGCATTTGACCTTGGAGTTCGACAAATACATCTGCATACTGAGGTTGTGAACGAAGGGCAGGGTTATTATGATACATAGTTAGCTGGTGTTGAATGCTCTGAAAGCAGAAAAAAAAATAATCAGGATCATAAGAAAAAGACTCAGAAAACAAACCCAACGCATAAAACTTCTAGGTGCGCGTTTAGGCTTGTTTTCCTTTGTGTTTTTACCGAATTGTTATTTAGCGTGTGGTATTATACAGATTTTTTGGTACAACTAGATAATTTAATAAAAATGCTACATTTATAAACTTGCATGCAGATCATAACTCCAAATTATTGGTTTTTTAAGTCATTACTTGATTCAATAATGTTGTAGCTCGATAATGACTGGATGAAGCAACGAAAGTCAGTCAGTCAGATGCAACGTAGAACTTCGTATGTAAGTACATCAGTTCATGTCGCCATACCACATCAGCACAGAGATGGAATTGTCGATTCAAATCCAATAGTAGTAGAGGTAGTAAAAGTATTAGAAGTAATCGAAGAGGTTAGGAGTAGAAGATATTACTCAAGAAGTATGATTTAATGAGAAAAGTTTAGAAAGTCAAAACTAGAGTTGTTGAAGAACCCAGAAGATTAAGATTTGAGAGAACACAAAGAATAAATGCACCTGCGCCGTTGCGAACGGTTTTGAGCCATGTCATTCAAGGTCTCTAACCATCGATTATTATCATCTCGCGGACACCAACCAGGTTGTCGACAATTACCACTCGTCAATGACTTCATGGATTTCTGCCATGTTTTGGTTTGGCCGCCCCTAACATTCTTCCAACCTATTCCTACACTACAAAACAAAGCTCGACGAGGCAGTCGGTGGTTGGGCATACGCAACACATGTCCCAACCACCTCAACTGATGAAGTTTCAATACTTCATCTATTGATCTGCCATTTTTACTTAGCACCCGTTTCCTAATAACGAAATAAAGGGGATCGTGTTATTAATTTCTATATTTCGTACGATCCTTTAAGAAAAAACTGTAGGCTTGTCAGTCTCATACTGTTTTTTCTTAACAATTTCATGTCTTTCGTGCTTCCAGGTTTTTTTTATCACTAAAGCTGTAGGATTTAATTTGTCCTACAGATGTAATTCTCTAGAACGGTAAACGCAAAATATTGGCGAGCACAGAGTCTATTGGAAAGCTATAGAGTCAGGACAAGATCAACTTTTGCTTTAGTTATGACATAACTACAATTAGTTATAAAGTAATTAACAGGAGCATTAAAACAAAAACTTGACAATAACTAATAAAATATTCGCTTTCAAGGTTCACCAACGACATTTTGTGCCTACTGGACAAAAAAATCTAGTGACTTAAGCACATCGTGAAAGAATATTCGCCTTATGGTTGTAAATGGAATTTTAGTGCAAAAACAAAATTTGTGTTGTTTTTTTTTCATGATGAGCGAAATCTGTGAGTCTTAATAATAATAATAACAAGCATAAAAAAGAATTCTACTCACTTGATGTTTTTTTTGCAGTTCAATGATGGAGTTGATAATTGACATTTGACGAGGTGACCGTTTTGTTGAGTTTTGGTTGAAAGATGTTGGTCCGATCGGTGTACGATTATTTTTGATAGGACATAAACTAGAAGTAGTTGATAGGCTAGTGATTAGATGAGAATTAGCAGACGATGCAGTTTGTGTGTTAGGATTAACGCTTGATAATGAAGGAGGTGGAGGTTGGCCCAAAAGTGAACCACCACAGGTACCAACTGTGGCACTACCATTCATTGGAACATTCAACGGACTTGGAAGGGAAAGGTTTAAGGCAGATCGGACCTGAAAGAAAATTACAAATGATGTTAAAGTGCTCGAATGCAAATGTGGTAAAAATTGAAGACCATGATCAATGAATTTTGTTTTAGATAATTTAATGAAGTTGAGGTCCAAGTCGTATTCAGTGCGTTTGAAAACTGTCATAGCAACTCGGATCATGACACAGTAAGAGTAGAAAGTCTACAATGATATTGTTTAAATGTGAAAAATCTCCTAATTTGAACAGTCGAAATATTTAAGTTGAAAGTGACATTTTGAAGGTTGATCAGGTACCAAGATTGTAAGGCATACAGATATAAGTACCCTGGTACGGTTGAGACTGGGGAGAGTTCGCCCGCTCTCTCTCTAAATCCCCGTATGGCCATGTGTATATATAGCCACTGCCATGTTACTGCCTCTTTGTGGCACGTATGTTATTTAACGAGACTGAGAGGACGAAAAGATTGATTGATTCCAAACCAATGGTGAACATGTGATCCAGGATCCTGATAGGAACGATTGGAGTGTGAGTCTATTGATGGTCACCGACCCACTCTCTTATAAACCCGAAAATTTGTGTGGCGCATAAATATTTAGTTGCCCATCTGTTCTGACGTTTATGTTTAAATAAAATTTTTTAAAAAAACACACCAAGAAACCATAATCCAAGCCGTTAAAAAATTATTGAAATTGAGAATCCTTATATCAATGAGGCTTTAATCTAACTAACCAAAACGGTTGAATATTCATATCTGAACTTGAAGATTTATCAGTCTAAACTACTTAAATAGGCTAGTTAGTTTATATTCGATGGAAGAACTGTTGACACACTTAAGTATATCACTTTTTGGATTTATCTACTGCAATGACTGTGCAATAACAGTCAATAGTAAATTGAGATATTTTAACAAAGCAAATTAGAAGATAAATATGAACTAGCATATCTTAAAAGTAGGCTTAATTCAAAAGATAAACCAGTAGTTGAATGATCATTGAAGACAGTCAGTGTGCAGTACATAAAATAGACAACATAACCCCATATAAATGATACGATGCAATAGAATAATTTTGAAGTGGACTCAATACCTGTTGAGTAATTTGCTGTCGCATGAACTGAGAGTTAGGAACTGGTTGCATAGATAAAAGTTGAGTTGTATTACTTTGCGTAGTTACGCACGACCCTGGTTGCTTAATACGATGATTTTGTGCAGACACTGACGAGTTATTTCCAGAAGGTGCAAACTGTGATAACGATGCATCATTTGACAGCTGGTTCATAGGTCCATTTCGCGATACAGTGTGAAGAGAGTTGTTAACTCCAAAATTACGATTAAGCTCTGGAGGTTGTGCCATGGAGTTCATAGTTCTGTTGGTGCTGTAACGCTCTCGCAATTCAATTATAGCTTTATCTGGTTCCATATTGCAGGCAATTAACGCAGCATGTGCATCTTCCTTCTTAAATCCCTGACTCATTAAATATTTAACCAAATCCGCGCGATAGGTATTACTATATGGGTGAATTTGTAGTCGTTCCTAAGGGAGATAAAAAGAATCCCATAGATAAACATTATTAATTATACAACTACTATTTGTGATACAAAACACAAATCTACCTTTTGAAAATATGGTACGAAGCGTTGCTAAGTCTTTCGCCATCCGAACCAGCTATTCTTATTGATTAGTACCGTCCGGACACATTACCTCACTAAACTAATGACGAAGTTCTACGTTGCAACTGACTGACTGACTGACTGACTAAACTAGTTATCAAAGTTAGGACAGATTCTAAAGTCTATTTCACTATCCGCCAGCACGTGGGCAATCAGTGTGCTTCGACATACTACTACTGAATGGGACACGCCTTAATCCAACCTATATCGTGCAGACATGCCCCGAGTACCAGATGAACGAGCAACACTATTAGATGGTGTAACTATGTTGCAACAAAAACAAGCACTAACTACTCAATCTGAAATGCTGGCGTAAATACATGTTAGGTGGTGGATAAAGCTTTGTTTTTAGATGACGAACTGAAGTGACAGGAACGTTGCGAAAAACGTGTGAAAAACCGTAAACAGAATACATACCACATTGATCTGATGTATTACATTAATAAATAGCTGTTTGCAACATTATTGAATCAAATCAAGTAACCATTAAAACTATGCACTTATTGGGAAAGTTGGGATTTTTGGATCGTTGCTTATATTTTTTGTTGTATTCAACTTGGTTTATTTCGTTATATAATTACACATCTGTCCAAGCTGTGTTCTAATTTTGAGGACTAGTTGAGTTAGGTAGTGTCCGAACAGTGCTAAGCAATGAGAGTAGCTAGGTTAGATAACGAGAAACTCAACATCAAGTGGCCAAATTACTATGCTCATCACTTAGGCCTTTGTTTATCTCCTCTACTATTATTACGCTGCTTATTATTCCAATTCTGCTGGTAATCGATTTTCCAGAGCCACTTTTAGCTTGTTTACACGTAAAATTGTAAGTTTCCATTTCATGTTGTGATGTGGTCCAGTGTATGTCTGTAAACCTGTATACGTTTGAAAAACAATAATAATAGAAGCTGGCTTTTCGAACTCAAAGTCGAAGATAGAGAAAAGCTTGCGAGTAGCAGACCAATAGGAGTTTAGTTGTGTCAGCTCAAGATCAATAATGGCGGTCATGTTTAGTGCACCGTGTTATAGAAGAAACAGATGCAAAAGACAAAATTAAAATTCTGATTGGTGGCTTTAGCATGTGGTATAAGGTAAGCATCTTAAGACACGGCACTAAAAACAATAGACGTTTTGTACGATATAATTTATAGAGATAAGAAGTTCATGGTTTTGGTTCACTCACTGAAACAATTTTACATAGTTTAGGATAGTCAGTGTTATTTATTACGACAAATAAGAATCAAAATTACGTAAGCTTTATCGTCTTTTATTCTTAAACTACAAAACTAGGCCGCATACAACCTCCCTGTATGCCGGTATACAGTTCAAACCAAACCAGACTGTTTGAATAAAAAATATAAAACCAAGTAATTCTCAATTTTTCAATGTTATTTGAACACACAAAAAAAAGATATACTTACAGACCCCTGAGGAAGTGAATTAGGACCCATGAAATTCTGTGGACGTCTAACATCATCCGAAACAGGTGGGAAGTGAGTTTGCATAGAACTTATTAAACTTGGAGTTGCAGGAGTCCCCCAACTGGTGCTGACCACCCCATTGGGTGATGTGTCCCACGAGGCGATACCGTTTGGATTTACACCGGATCTCAACAAATTCGAATCAGGATCCCAAGAGAACTCATCTGGTGGATTGTGTGTCGGAAGTATGGGGCGAGTATTACCAAGTACAGGACGACCATTGGATTGTTGAACAGCAGTCCCACTATTCCAAAAAGCTAAATTTATGCAAAATCATTTATTATGGTAAATTATATTACCATTTTTATGATGATAAGCTGCCATTAAGTTATTTACAAATAAGAATGAAATAAATACGTTAATTGACTTGGTTGGCAAACTATAAAAAAGGAAAATTGTTTGGAACTGATTGATCATAGTAGTAACAATGATATACGAGAAGTAATGTTACATTGTTTTATCTACAACCACAACTCGTTAGAATTCATTACAGAAAAGGATGGGATAGTATACACATCCCGAGACAACCAGCTAGACGGATTATGTGAGAAACGTCTATTAAGTGTATGGTGAAAAAATTTATCATCTACAAAGGCTTGCAACTTTTGAATGGTTCGGGGTCCATCGTCTCAAAAGTTTAAAAAATTATTAGACGTTAAGAAATTATACTAGGTAAATATGTCAAACCTGTTGGGTTGGTTGGATCCGTGAGTTAAGATGTTCTAAGGGGAGAACACAGTGGCTGAGATTTGTTTATTGTTTCAGCTATGTGTTAAAATGTGGCTAAGTTATTAGGGTTTAATGTATTGAATTATAGGTTTTTGTGCATTTGCTAAATGTGAGCGCATTTATAGCCTACGTAAACCGGTAGACGTCAACGTAGGTTATTGGCCCCATTTGCCATGCTTTGCGTCTACAGAAAACTAACTTTAAACTCAACTGTTGTTCTTACATTTCGATTTTGAAATTCACTTAAACACTGAATGAGTATGGACCAACAAACTTCAAATATTAGATAAGTAAAATTAGTTCCACTGTGGTTAGCACGTAAATTTTCGTATAGGTTGGAAGGATTTGGAGTCGAGATCAATCTTAATTAGCTAGTCAACTCTAAAAAGTTTATGATATCCCCCGAATGTTGTCGTTAGTCACGGCACAGTTACTGCTGAATGAAGGGCAGGTTTATTTATGGTGTAACTGTTGTTTGAGATGCTGTCAAATGCTTTAAAATTAAGGTCCGACAACCAACCTTTAGCTGTCTTTGGATTCTGCACGAATAGCAAGATGAGCATTAAGAAAACTGGGATTTGTGTTCTTATTTAAACTGTTTTCTTGAATAGTCTTGTTTGAATTATGGTATATTCCTTTGATAGTTTCCACAGAGTTGCGTAGCGTATTTTTAGTGCTGCACTATATTATGTATTTGTTTGCTTCATATAAACAGATTCGACATCACATTTTGCTGTGAACCAGAATTACTATAGATTATCAAGAAGTTAGTGATTTTAACAAAATTTAAATTTTTGGACTAAATGGCTGAAAGCCCTATATTAGGCAGTGAATAATAAGTCTTCTGTTGCCCAGACACGTTCAAGAAATGTTTCGAGAGGCCAAAGAATTTAGCACACTTTCATTGTGGAAATTCTATAGAGAAAACTGTCTATACCCGCTGGTTTGCCTGTTATCTAAACAATAAATTTAAACTCTGGGAAAAATAATGAGCTGGAAATAACATAGAACCACTTACTTTCCTGATTGGAAGCAGCTGTCACTGGTGGGCGTCTGTGGATGATGCCTCCACTAACACCATCTTCGTTATCTGTCACACACACGGATGCGTTCCACAACAAGCTGCTACGGTCTGAGGATCCAGAGAGGCCAGTATTCCAGTTTTTGGATAATCCTAGGTGGAAAGACAAAGAAATAAAAATTTCTATGCATTTGCATGCCTAAAAAGTAAAAACCAACCATTGGTAACCAACGCGTTAATTTAAGCTGGTACACAATTATCGGTACGAGGCTTTCAAAATTTTAATTTAGATATTTGTGCACAAATGCATAAGAGATGCAGAAGCAGTGATGTTCATGTCTATAGGGATATGGAATCGAGTCAAATATGGCTACTGAACTGGGAACTGTAGAAAACGCAATAAAAACAGCAAAAGTGAACTGTAAAACTGAGCTTGAACGACCTGATAAATGAATGTGAATCAGAAAACAACAAATGTACCCTATAGTGATAAGACTAGAGATTTCGAGTCAGATTCAGGGTTTCTATAGCAGATTGACATCACCTAAAATACGAGAACATATATGGTTGAATAAATTTATCACACAAACCCAGGAAGGGTTACCTCATAACTGAGTGACCCATTCACTTGACCAGAAAGCACTATACATGAACGGATTGGGCATATTCAAGATCATTCAGTCATCACCAAACTTGAGTTTAGCAGAGATATGCGTTGGCACATGTTGATATACGAGAGACTTAAGATAATGCCTCTTGGATTCTCCAGTTCCATCCGTTCAAATTATTTTGGTATTATAGTTAATGTAAATTCGCGAGGAAACGCTAAAGCTACTTTTCTCTTCTAAAACTGTTTAAAAAATACGATGTTTTTATACATACCATGTGATTGAAGAAATTCGTACATTCTTTTTATTGGTTTCAGCTATTATGCAATGACGCGAACGAATGCCAATTAAGAACAAATGGTTAAAGCTGCAGGTTTGAGTGTAACATAACAGCAATGGATAATGGTAATACATACATTTGTCTTCATACACTAGTTTTAAACTAGGCTTTCAAATAAATACACAATACGTACATTAAAATAAAGACGTTAAATTGATTACTACTTACTATTTTCATTATCTTCCCAATCGCGACAAGTATTAAGACGGTTATTAGGTGGCACTTGTGTCACACTGCGAGAATTTGCGTTCATATTACAGTTCACTAAAGCGTTAGGGTTAATATGGGCGACAGACGAAACATCACGGTAAGTTGAGGACTGTGATTCTGCCTGCCATGCAGCCGAACGTCCACCCAAGCTTTCATAATGCATTTCCCATATCCCTGTTCCTGTTGGTGGTTCACTTGCCCAAACGTTAGAATCAGATGAGTGAGTTTGAGATATTCGAAGATTCCCCACTATGTATCCAGAAGGGCAAGCTCCTGGTGTAGGTGTAGTTATGCCACTGCGATTTACTTGATCACTTAACTTTGGATCTAATGGTTCCCAAGGTGTTGCTTGATCGATTGGTCGTCGCCCCCAACCTTCGTTTGTATTGATTAGTCGGTCACAGAGCTGTTCTGTTGTGAACGCAACATCATTTTCGTTAACACAGCCGACAGATGTTTTAACATGAGATGCTAAAATGAAAGCAACTTCTAAATTAACAGCCTGTCTAGGGAAGTAATGCATAATCTACCTGAATAACTATTTTCAATCAGTCTTACCGATCAGTACGAAGTTAGTAGTGATAAACTTCATAAGCACATCAAGCTGGAGTTAAGATATGTGACCACCGGTTCCAAGGCAGATTGAACTGCAAAGAAATACCTCAACAATATTTGATTTAGCACGAAGATTTTGGTAAGCTTTCTCTCGGATTACGTGTTGGTTTATGGTGAAGTTTCAGAGTGAGAAATGCACTGCAGGGCTTTTACAGAACATGTGTACCACATCACAGTAATTATTAGCCCAGGTTACAGCAGATAAAACTAGTGATAAAGACAGACTCAACGAACCACTATAACATATGGACTATCAAGGATGTTAATATTTCTTGACGTCGAAATTGCTCATTGTTACGAAATCAGCTCACCATACAAAGTCGTAGGACTGATAGCCTGGTTAGATAACATCCGTCCATTTGCACTCCACAATGCCCTGGTGCAAACAAGAGTGAGGACTTTGCTCTCGCTCTTGAAATGCTGTTACACGGTTATGCGTGTAGTCATTACCAGGAGATCCTGCTTACTGTCTCCTCGTATCCGAAGTGTTGCTGAAGGGAAAATACTAAGAGCTCAAACCGGGTACGAAAAATATACTGAGGGGAGTTGGAAAACCGTAATTCCAAACCAGGATGCTGAAAAAACAAATATATATGAACCTAGTCTTGGTAACCGGCTATCATGACACCGCATTTCTTAACGGTGATCAACTGACTTGTGGATTACAACTGTAGGTTCCGTGTATGACCTACCAAGAAAAGTAGTTGCTTCCGTTTGGGCACCCGATCTCAAACAAATACGTGTGGTGCGAATATACTTAGGTTTTTCTTTGTACCAGTATTCTTTTAACTAAACAAACTTCGTTCCCCGATTTCTTTAACAGCATACCCACCGCGAGAAGGTAGTGAATAGGATTTCGTGAGGTGATTTCGAAGTGTGAGGGTCAACATCTAGAACAAAGTCTAGGAAGCTCATTTTACAATCTAGGGATTGGAATTAATACATACATTAGAGTTGTGTTCGTACTGATCACCTCTTAGATTTGGAACCCATTATGACAGTTGTCCGATATTGTCAATAAGTCACGTAGTTCAGATTATACTCATATTGAAGCCCCTATTAGGATCCAACAAGAGATTTTTGAACCTGAAACAAGCTTAGGACAGAACTTCAGAGGTCTCCAAAGATTTGAGGTGAAATATCGTAATCCACAAATTTAGTGAGGCGTATATTAGAACAGAGATTTTGGAGTTGAAACGAAATGAAGACAATATGGTTGGTTCATGTACAGGTTGTCTTGGTGCTGTGGCACTAAGGATTATGATTTGACTCGTCCGTATACTAATAAACGCGATAGTAAAATCACCGAGTGCATAAAATGTACAAAGCAGTTAGTGAAAACTCACGTGACTCCTCAGAATTCCTAGGAGTAAGAGCCAGGCCAGAAAGCATTGCAGTAACATCGGGAAGGTTACTAGCAGGGCTACTATGAGGTAAACTGGAAGACCTGGATGCATCACTTAAGACATCTGACTCCGCAACAGTGATAGGCACATTTGTGAGAGAACCAATGCAGTGTGGAGGACTAAACTTCCAATAATCAATGTCATTATTAACCCTAGGTATTTGGAACACAGGATCATGAGACGAGTCCCAGACCTATCATATAGTTAAGAAACGGACAACTTACATCATCACAGGCGAGTGGGTTACTCTGACTAGTTGAACTCCCCCAAAGTTGGTTGGGAGCGCCTGATGATTTCGCTTCTGATAGCTGCATATCACTTGACCAAATAGACATCTTGTTGGGGGGTCTCAAAGGGTTGTTGGGAGACCATGAAACTGTGGACATTAAAAATAAAAGTGACCTACGCATCTCTGGAGCATCCGACTTAGAGTCTACAGTTAGTTTTTCCGGTTGTTTCGGGGGTGGAATAGCTGAAATAAACATAAACCGTGTGAAAGGTTTACCTATATTGCTCAGTTTAGGATGTGCGAGAAAAGAATCTGTGTTGAGAGGCCAAATATCATTATTGACTAGTTCCATGTTAGATCCATTATTCCATGCACCAAAGTTCAGGTTAAAAAAATTGAGCTGAGTATGTTCCTGGGACTCTGACATCTAATCATCCAGAAATATATTACTAAAATAATCCCACCAGAAATTTGTCAATTTTTTCTCCGAATTATTGTTAGGCATAATTGTATCACATTATTAACGAGGCGTTACAGCGCGATGAACTTGGCAACTAGCAATTTTGATACATAACTGTCTACCAATCTTCAAGGACAAAACAAGATGACGGCGAACATTCAATATGGCCGGTGATTTGACATGGTTAAACAAACTTCAATGACTTATACAAGAACTGTTAAAGACCATGTAATTAACAAAAATACAGGCCGATTGAGGTGAAAAAATAGAATTTTAAAGTGCATCAAGTAAAGACCTGGTGAAAGAAGGCTGAGAAATGTAAAATTACGGTTGCACAAATCCTGGATGAAAGCTCGAAACCCAAAATGTATAGATACTTTTGATCAAGTGTCATCTCCAAATAACTCATTTTATTTACATGTTTCCTTATCAGTAACTTTGAAACTACGCTTTATTGGGTATAACTCAACATAAACTATCGATTCATGAATGGGAGATAATAACCGATGACTACTAATGGTAAAAATTTATCATTCGATTCCGGCAAAAGCTAATTTTATGGTGGACGGTGTTATAGGACTCCCGATTTCCAAATAACCATATATATATAATATATATTCCACTGGTGTATTTGCTAGATGAAGTGTTTTGAGTAAGAAGAATAAACTTTTACAAATTCTAGACTGCAGTTGCATGAAACTGGGATTTCATGCTGTACAAGTCAGACTGTAATATCAAACATCTTGAAAGCAGTCTTTTAGTTCTTGAATTATGTATACAGTGGCTTTTAGTGAGACTTGTATGTTTTGAGAGAAGTTCGAGATGTTTTAAATGTTAAAAGTCGCATAGCAAACAAATCTCATCTTGTAGTTTTTCAGAATTATTCTTCTCTTACATTTATCATCAGGTTACTCACAGGAGGTAGGATTTTTTTGCTACGACGCATAACAATAAAGTCGTATAAGTTTTAGAGCATCTAGAGGGGGGGACAAATCAAAATATGCATGTGCAGGGATGCGTCAATGGTCAGCCGACATACTGGCGGTGAATATCACTTGGTGTGAATTCATTCTGGCATTTGAAGTTGTTTGGATATCCACATGGTACATACAAATTTGTTGCTCCTCATGATTTAAGTTATACCTTTATTTGTACATCTCTCGAGTACACTTCTTATCGCTAATATTTCAGAATAGTTTTATCTGGCTCATTTTTTAGTGATTGTGTGGTGTTTCTTAACTATATTTAACCACAGAAACCTGTTTATCGGACTGCATGTTGAATTAATAGGTATGTTAGCAGTGAAAAGCTGCGTGTCAGTAAGTTTTGTGTTCTGAAGCGAACAGCTCGGGTAACTATAAGAAGTATGCAGTTGGTAAACACGTCATCCTTTCCTTTATTTCATATTGTTACCCCTCATGGAATAAAGGCTGCTGACCAGGTTTCTCCAATCACCTAATCCCCGGCTGACATTTATCCTTTTCATGTCTCTTTCCAATTCTCGTTGAAATGTGTTCCTTGGTATGCCTCTTTTCCTCTTCAAGTTAGGGCTTGTTTCAACATATTGTTCGGCGAATTTCACGGTGGTTGTCCTATCCACTTCCAGTGCTTCTTATTTATATCTTCTTCAGCCGGAATCTAGCTCATTCCCTGACACATTTGTTCGTCATTAATGATGTCTGGCCAACAAATCCACTGTATCTTGTGGAGACAACTGTTACTCAACGCCTATATCTTGTGGATAGTGGCCTTCATAATTACCGAAGTTTCCCATACACTTAGTAGAACTGTCTCGACATCTGTACTGAGAATCCAGACTTCTGTGTTTGTCGCTAGTCGCTTTGAGTTCCAGATCTTCAATTGCTAATCCGTGTCTTTACATATGCATCAGATTTATCTTGTTCATGGGTTAGGTCTTTTATCATGAATATCTACCAAATCACCAAAATAAACCCGACTAAATCTACACCCCGACCAATTACCAGTGGTGTTTTGCAAGGGCCGCGTCTAGGCCCCATTGCTTTTCATTATCCACATCTGCTGAGTCATTAAACAAGAATATTTTCTGTTCTGTTCCTAACCCCTTTCTCTTTATTTCACTTTTTCAGCACCGTATTCTAATCCTTAAATATTAGTGCGCGAATTCGCAGAAGAGTTGGTTACTTCACCCAGAAGCCCGTAAACTTGTTATCTGACTAATGTCAACAAGGTCGTTGCACATTTACCTCGTCAGTTCTTGTTATATGCAGACCTGGCTTTACCTTAAATTGTTTGCTTTCGGCTCTTATTGATTGATGAGGTGACTAATCAGTGACACTGATGTTGCTCTTATACGCTTGCCACTTCTGAGACTCATGTTTTCCAAAATATGCTGAGGTTGCTATTCTGCCAAGACAACCTGTAACATGGCTGAGGCACTCACAGTATGACTTAGAGGTTGATATTTGATATAAAAAGTTAGACAGTCGAAAATATAACCATCGATAATTTTTTTTAAAACTTTACTCTTCTTCCTGAACTTTCGGCTTCAATGTACAGATGTTCAGCTTCCTACTCCAACCTCTCTTCTATCCACTTGACAATTCACAAGTCCTCCCACTTCACTGCTATGCTCCTTGATCTGTGGGCTATATTACTAAATTTAATGGCCATTACGAACTTTATCTTGACTTGGCTCTGCATTGTCTACTTCATCATGAAAAGTTAAGCAATGCTCTGTGTTACGTCCAGTTTTTTGCTTTTTGATCCTTTGAAGCACGGTTGTCGATCTATTTGCAATTCACGATTCCAAATGTTAAACCAACAAGGGAACTCCAAAGTCGATACCAAAGTTTATTCCAAATCACAAAATCGACCAAAATATGTTATTACAAATAGACGACCAATGTCGTTCTAACAACAATAATTATAATAATTACAATTACCTTCTATTTTATAGGTTCTTAGAGCAAAAAACTGCAAACGAACAACCAAGAGAAACGGGAGTCCGAAATGGCAGAAAATAATAATTCAAACAAGTTCATAAGTTAAGTAAAACAAATGTACCCAAAAAACAGTGAAATTAATGATATTTATATATAAAGGTTTTGATCAGCAAAATGTTTTCATTCCTCCCGTAACACTCCCGACCAAAAGAACCTTGGTTCTTTTCACCGACAAAGATAGATAACAACAATCCAAGTATGTGCATCACAAGCAATCAACAACAAACATTCAATATAGATTCTACACCGGCCCACAAAATCCCTCTAAGCAAAACAAGCCCTTTCTAACACTTCAATTTAGGGTTCACTCTCATCCCCTAATCCACACCGGAAGAACGAGCAGGACTTACAGCAGTACGCCTACCCGCCCTCCAACATGGATATAACCTATCAAACTAACTATGTACCTGTACCTTCGACATCTGGTCCTTGATTCCCCTATCTATCGTAGCATGACCTAACGGTAGTATAAGCCTTATCCAATTAACCCACACGAACATGTACAACACGTCGTAAAGCTGGTCGAATCCTCTTAGAGATTTACCTTCCACCTCATGGAGATGAGTCGTCAATCCACCACCCATTTCTCCAAACAGCAGATACGATGAAGCCCGTGATGCTGACTTATCAACAGAAGTTCTTGACTCATAGATTATTTGCAAGGGTGGGATCTCCGATTTTGACATTTCCTCGTCTCCCGAAGACTTTAAGTGGCATAACATGGGACCAATGTCTAACTCTCCATCTCCTGATACAGAGGAGGTTTGATCAGCATTCGTTATCGTCGGCAACTCATTTGTCACATCAGTGACATCCAGATTATTATCATCGTCATCATGATTCCATTGTGTCAGACAGGTGGCGTCAATTCGGTCTGCACTAGCATCTGTAGAGTGGAACTCTTCCATTGTTGTATAACCCATCTCTCTACATGAAAGAACAGCATTAGTGTCACAATCCAAAACCGATAAACTCACTTGTTGTTCTTCGTGTTCCGTTTCAGAGACACACGACATATGCACGTCAATAGCATCGTTATCATGCAACACTGTAGACTGGCTGTTACCATCAGACACTTCCTTCTCATCATCACTTGACTGACAGTCAACCGAAGTAGGAACACTTACAGTTACACAACCTTGTGTATCCTCAACCAACTTAACATTCGCGACAAGGCCCGATGACATCAAATCAATAGAAGGCTCATTCGATGAAGTTGATCGACTAGTCACTATGGGTGGACTGCTCACACATTCTGTCTCCTTACTATCGCTGTCACTACTAAGATTCTGATGACTACTATTTCCATTGCTAGTCATAGCATCCGAAAGAGAACGAAGTTTAGGCTTCTTAATAATAGTAGCATCGATGTAAGAACGGATGTATGCCACTGCCCCATATCCAATTTCCGAGGCGTCACAGAAAATATGAAGTTCCAGGAGCGAGCGATCTGATTGTGGGAATAATACACAGCGTGGAAAACTAACGTTCTCAACCCTCCGAAATCCACTTAAAATCTCTAACCAGCGTTTGCCTTCCTCACTTGGAATCTCTTCGTCCCATCCTAGTCCCAATTTACTCAAACGTTGAAGTAATTGTTTCATAGGAAGTGTGAATGGTGCTAACAATCCCAAGGGGTCGTATAATGAAGCTACACTTGACAATATACCTCGCCTAGTGAGAGTGCATTTCGGTATGTGAACTTTAAATTCAAACGCATCAACCATAGTATTCCAAAATAATCCCAATGTGCGTTCAGTCGGAAGTCTCTCAAAGTCAATCTCTTTTACGGCTTCTGCTCTCTCTTCTGGATGAATAGATTCGAGAACCTGTAAACAGTTACTTATCCACTTGGTAAGTCTGAACCCACCTTTTCTGAGTAGTAAACCAAGGGTTTTTGCAAGCTCGATTGCATCCTGCACATTATCAATTGATGTTAAATAGTCGTCGACATAGAAACTCTTATCTACAACTTCCTGGACATCTTTATTCAATTCCTTTCCGAATATATCTACCGTCTTCCGAAGAGCGAAATTAGTGCAAAAGGGAGAGGACACGGCTCCAAACGGATGAACTGTCAAACAGTATTCCTTGGCCTTTTGTCCTATATCACCGTCTTCCCACCATAATAGTCGAAACGCTCCCCTGTCTCGTTTCGGGATCTTTA